CTTGAGCGGTATCTTGAGGGATGAGGGTGGCTACGAATTCAAGCGCGCGGTTGTGGAGAGCATGTTTGATCTTATCAAGTTCGTTCCGGAGAGTAGAGAAGATGGTGAGTGTCATATTCTACCAATCCCGTTTTCCCTCGCTAATTTATATAGCCTTGGCGCACCTCTGCGAGTTCATCGAGGACTGTGAGTTCACGAAACTCGCGGTGCGGATATTGCACCTTCTGGGTATGGAAGGCCCGAAGACTGCACACCCGACCAAGTACATCAGATACATCTACAACCGCGTCGTTCTGGAGAACGCCATCGTTCGCGCTGCAGCTGTCACTGCTCTGGCCAAGTTCGGCGTGGGACAGAAGGACCCTGAGGTGAAGAGCAGTGTGCACGTACTCCTTACCAGATGTCTGGACGACACTGATGACGAAGTCCGTGACCGCGCCGCTCTCAACCTCAGACTGATGGACGAGGATGACGAAGTCGCGCACCGCTTCATCAGAAATGGTATGCTCGCTACCTCATTCATTAAGCTTATACACAGGCAGCTAACAGATATCAGACTCCATGTTCTCACTTCCTGTGTTGGAGCAACAATTGGTCATGTACGTCACTGCGGAGGACAAAGATACCTTCAGCTCGCCGTTCGATCTTTCCAAGGTGCCTATCGTCACGAGAGAACAAGCGGATGCGGAGGACCGGACCAAGAAACTCACCACCGCCACCCCTACCCTCAAGGCCCCGTCTGCAGGCCCCAAGCCGACGCCAAGAGCAGGCCAAGATGCTGCAGCTTCTGCCTCAGCCGCAGCTCAACAGTACGCACAACAGCTCCAAGCCATTCCCGAATTGGCAGCGTATGGCGGTGTGCTCAAGTCCTCTCCTGTCATTGAATTGACGGAGACTGAGACCGAGTACGTCGTCAGCGCGATCAAGCATATCTTCAAGGACCACATCGTTTTGCAGTATGAGATCAAGAACACATTACCGGATACCGTTCTGGCCGATGTTTCGATGGTCGTCACACCCGCTGAAGAGGAAGGTCTCGAGGAGGAGTTCCTCATTCCGGCGCCTCTTCTTAAGACCGACGAGCCAGGCACAGTCTACGTTTCGTTCAAGCGTACCGAGGGCGAGAGCTCGTACGTTGCAGCATCATTCACCAACATCCTCAAGTTCGTGTCCAAGGAGATTGACCCCACGACCGGAGAGCCGGAGGATGGCGGCTACGACGACGAATACCAGGTCGAGGACCTCGAGCTGACTGGCGCCGACTACATCGTTCCTGCATACGCGGGCAGCTTTGACAACGTATGGGAACAGTCTGGCTCCGGCGAGAGCGCAACGGAGACATTGCAGTTGGATGCGATCAAGAGCATAGCAGGTGAGCTAGCAAAACTAACATTCCCCGCCAAACAGACACATGACTGACAGGATCATATAGATGCAACCGAATTGGTGCCAAAGACGCTGTCATTGCAACCGCTTGAGGGTACAGACGTGGCTCTTAACACGACAACTCATACGCTCAAGTTGTACGGCAAGACCATCACTGGCGGTAAGGTGGCTGCGATGGTTCGCATGGCTTTCTCGGCCAAGACTGGCGTTACGATGAAGATTGACGCTCGCTCTGAGGAGGAGGGCGTGGCTACCTTGGTCGTCAACAGCGTGGCATAAGTGCTGTGCGCTTTGTGATGGACGCGAGATTTCAACGCTGCATGACGGCCTCGCGAATCGAATGATAACTATAGTACTGGTAAAGTCAAGCAAAGTAGAGCTGATCATCGTTCGGGGTTCTTGGTGCGGGATGAAGGCAGGTAAGTAGGATGGGGATGTAGGTACATGGAAGTCGCTGGCTTTTCCGAGCGGCCGATGATGGGTCGATTCTTCCCGCGTGAGAATCAAAACGTTTGTTAAGATGTCCTAGCGGTGCTGCAATTTGTATTAGGCGCGATTAATTGAAGAGATACTACTGCATTTGCGTTTAAGCTTGGAATCTGTGCGCTGTTCTGGTAATGATGGCATGTAGCATTCTGATCTCGAAGCTCTACATTTCCGCTCTATCCACGTCTACCTCGCCCATCGCCACCCTCACCTCCTCTTATACGCCGGCCACTCCTCCACCCAAGCCTTTATCTGAGCAACCTCATTATCAATAACGGCCTGGACGCCCTCATTAACCTCACCATTCTCGGCCAACAAATCCGAGCAATGGATGCCCGCCGGGATGACCTGGACCGGCGCCTCGACCGTCGACGCCAGCGGCCCCTGCGGCCTGTAATCACTGCTGACGGTGGAATCCCTCCACGGGTCAAACTCGCCATTCGTCCAGATCAGGCGCGTGGTGTTCATGTCCCAGCCGCCGGTCCAGGTGTTGACGTCCTCGACCGTCTTCCCCGAGGCGGAGCCGTAGGTGTAGTCGCCCTCGGGCGGGAAGAAGAGATCGCATTGGCGCTGCCAGTACGCGGCGTCGACGAGGCGGGAGACGAGGCTGGGGGTGGTGGCTGGGGCGCCGTCTTGCCAGTAGGCGAAGGGCTCGTTGCAGAGGAACCAGTTCCATTGGCGGTCGACGACGTTGGAGACGGTGACGTCGGTGAAGAGGGGGGAGGAGGCGTTGTAGGTGTCGAAGCAGGCGAGGGTGGTGGGGTCGGTCCAGTAGCCGTAGGAGGCGCAGTAGTCCGGGATCAGGTATTCTTTGGTCCATTGGGCGTAGTTTTCTAGGGCGGCGGTCAGACCGACGCCGGTGGCGCTGGGGGTGGAGTTGGTGGTTGTGTTGGTGTAGATGCCCTGTGGTGGGTTAGTGGGATCCGGTTTGATGGAGGCGATGGGGCTTACCTCGATGTAGTCGCAGAAGATGTAGAAGTCGGAGTAGCCGGAGTAGAATTGGTTGCTTTGCCATAGCCAGGGGCCGTTCTCAAGTGCGCTGCAATGGATCTATCAGCATCTTGGTCGCGATGATTCTTGTCGGGGCGCAACGAACGCTCCAAAGTCGGCATCTGCTAGACCGTCAAGGCCAAATTTGGTCTTCAGGGCCTTCTTCTGGGCAGCGGTACCGTTGACCAGGATGCTATCCATATAGTCGACAACCAGAGACACGTCACTGCTGCAGTTCTGTGGCATGCCCGCCTGGACAGGCTCAAAGTATTGCCACTGTTCCCGTCAGTCTAAGGTCACAGAAGGATCTACGTAAGCCGATCGACTTTGTGACTTACAAAGTCATAGACAGTCTGGACAACAGCACTCGAAGCGTGGTATGCCCAGAAGGTACCCGGATCGACGGAAGCTGTCCATGCAGACAGGGCGCCACTGTATGAACCACCTGAAAAGACCCAGGGCTATTTTTCCAAGTCAGATACGCGGTCACCTTACAATCCAATGCGAGGGACCTTACTGCGTTGGTTGCAGAACTGCTACCATTTGTGTCGAAAGGCAGGACGACGTTCTTAGCAAAGTAAGTGGTATCCGCAATGGAGTTGGCCAGGGTCAAGTATTGGAGGTTCTTGGTGGTCAGCTCATCATATGGAGAAGACTCTCCCCAGTAGCGGTCTGTGATCCGACAATCAGTGACTATCCACTTATCAGGGACAGTGAACCTACGCTCCAGCATGACGACAGCGCCACCAATGGCTTCCGCAAACAGACCCGTAACAGTTCTGTTCGTAAGGTACCCAGTATATCCGTCAGCCGCAATTTCACCAGGCGTGAAGAAGACGACCTTTTTCCAGAATCAGCATCAGTTTCCACTTCATATCCGTTGCACTGACCGGTGAGCCAGGTCCAGCCCAGTACTCATCGCTCCACCAGAACCGCTGCGAAAAAGTCCCCAAGTCTGGGTTCTCGTGATCGATCAACTGCTCAAAAGTGGTGTGTCCAGACGTCTTGGACCTCGAAAACTCCATCGGCGGCGGACGCAACTGTCCCCGACTCGCAGGAGAAATCTTCGCCGCCACGGCACCCACAAGGGCGCTTGCAACGAGCGAAACGAGCTTCATGATGAGAAAGCTCTGGTGTGACAGGAACCAGAGTCGACGGGAGGAACGGCGAGAGCGCCTCCACAAAACCACCTACCCCATCTTATATGTATGTTGCCATCCCCGTTAACGATCTTGATATTGCAGCAGAGAACGAGGGTGGTGCGCAAGCGCGGCATATCTTATCAGCTGTCTGCTGTCTTCCGATCGACCTGCCCGTTTCGACCATTGTGCCTGGCGATCGATACCGCAGAGAGTCATACGCCGCCTCGCAGCCATGCAGTGGACTGCCTCGTCCCGCTGTGGATACACGGTTTAGTTGTCCTCTTTGGCAAGAGTTAGAGCTTATCAGGCGGCCCGGCTAGTGGCCAGGTTGCCGTCAACGTGGTGGTAGGCGTTCAGTGCTCGAGATTTGGTTTAAAAGCCGCAGGCCAGTGCGGGGTCTTGGTTCCTGCCTACACCGTGATAGCTTCGAGAAGCTGACTTCTGCAGCTTCTCGAAGTGCCGCTTGCAAAGATCAGAAGATTAGGTGCATGATGCGGTGTTACGGTATGGCTATATGATGGCGGTGAAGATCAAAGCTGAACATAGCGGCAAAGTACTTCGCAAAGGTAAGCGCAAAGTTAAGCTTAAGCCAGCGTATTCGATGTATTTTCGACGCAAGACATAAAGCAAGTAATGAACGTGTGCGGCGTCATAGATCGGGGTGCGAACAGAGGAGGACATCTTTGCGAGACTGATAGACGGAGAGAGACAGAGACGAGAAAGCGCAGTAGCGTCCTTACACAAAAAGCAGAACGTGATGTCCAGTTGCGCAGCCAAGCCCACGATGGGGCGTTGGATGATGATGGCTGGATGATGCCTCGCTGAGCAAGTGGAGGTTCTAGGTATTCCGCCAAGCTCCGCCGATGGTCATCATTCATAGCTCCGCCGCGCCCCGCTCCGACCTCCGCCCCCAGCAAAATCCCGTCCCGCGCAATGCTTTGTTTTAGGATCCACCCACAGCTCGGGACCACTCGGAATGTGCAAAAAGAACAAAAATGGCGCTGCTGGGAATCGAACCCAGGTCGGCACGGTATTGTTGATGAAGCTATGCTCCAGCCACAACGTGACGTGATACCACTACACTACAGCACCTTGATGAAAAACAATGTGGCAACAGATAATATATACAGCATTAGAACGGGCTAACTGCTGTGTCCATGGTCGCATTGTGCATCTGGAGCCATCTGACTGCCAGTGGATTTGATCAAACCGACCTAAATTCAGGGGCACTTGAGTGCTCTACATAATTTCTGTCTGATTCCACAAATGTACCTAGCGATCGGGGGAAGGCGGAAGTGGTGCTCTGTGTTAATCTTTCCGCTTCAATAATCAACCAATGTTTGAGCATTATTTATCTGAGCCTCATTACTACGAATCTTGTGACGGAATTCCAGTTTATTCCAGGCGGAGTCTCTTAGTCTCGGAATACTCTCTAGGCACATTCTTAGCTGTTCATACTCATAGGAGGAATCCTGTCCGGCTGATGTGTAGACGTACTTTAGCGACTGTGATGGATTATCCCAACCAAGGATCGCAAAAGATAGATTAATCTACGTTAATCAAATTCTCGAACCGGATCAACACCTTCACAAATCCCACGAACCAGCGCCGTGGGAACCCAGCCTTTCTGCCAGCACCACCGGGAATAAGAGCCGCCCTCGTGCGCTCTCTCGCTCACCCGCCACACCACCGCGGATTTGGATAAAGCGGCGACTACACGTAAAGCACCCCGCGCATCCTGACCGCCACCATTTTCGTAGTGCTTCCACGCCCGCAGCTGTGGGCTGGCTGTCAGACCAAAGGGACACTCCGCAGCAGCCGAAATTCCAAATCGACGTTTGCCTCTGTTCGGTTTGGACCATCCGTTGCTGCCGGCCAACAAGCCCTCGAGGCATTCCCGCCTTGCATGTCGGAAATCATCATCGTGAGAGCGGCTCTGCAGGTCTTCGAACGGCCATCATGGTGTCGAGAAGGGGGAGTGTGTATATAAGGTTGTTTTGATCTGCTGAATTCACAGTTTGCTCTGACGAGCATCTTGTCCCTCTCTCTCCATGTCTTGCCCCAAGTCTTTGAATTGATTACTGCTGCTCGACGGTTCCCGACCCCGCGGAGGCACACCCATCGCCTGCCTGCCCTGTGCGCAGCGGCAGCGCGAGCCCCTCACTTTGGTCGCTCTTGTCGTCGCAATCCAACGTCATGCTCGTCTTTCCCCTCGTACCTCGAAAAGCAAATCCCGAATCCTCCCTCCAGTGATTTGGAAGATTTGGAAGCATGCCGCGTCGCGCTTACGCATGGCTGAGTGGAGGGGGACGAATCAGAGAGGCGAATGGAAAATCAAAATGCGCTTGGAGGGCAAGGAGAAGCGGCTGTCATGCGAAGTAGTCCGAGGATATATTAAGGGAAGAGCCTCGCTGCTGTGACACGTTATCATCTCTCTTTTCTTCGATAAGGCAGTCCCAAATCATTTCTATTTAATCGATCAAATCCTGCGGTTGCTAAGCTCTTCCGAACTATAATCATTTCTTCACCTCCAACCAAGCAAAATGGCACAAGCATACCACGGCCAGTGCCTCTGCGGCGAAACCCAATGGCAGGTCCAACTCGAGCCCGACCAAGCCAAGCACATCCTCTGGTACCCACATCCCCTCCCTTCCACCACCCAACCCCATCAACCCCCGACTAACCCCTCCTCCACCCCAGTCACTGCGACACCTGCAAAGCCCTCTCCGGCGCCCCCTACACGCTCAACCAAATCATCCCCCGCAAAGCCCTCCACTTCACCTCCGGCGGCACCTCCCTCAAGAAATACACCTACTACGGCGAATCCGGCAAAGCCGTTGACTGTTTCTACTGCCCCAATTGCACCTCCCACCCCTACCACCACCAGCACGTCATGGGCGAAGACACCATCGTTGTAAGGACTGGTTTGTTGAAGGAGGGACGTAGTTTCAAGCCCGCGGCTGAGATCTTTGGGAAGGCGAAGTTGGATTGGGAACCTCAGATTGCGGAGACTTTTGAGACGTTGCCGCCGTCGTAGGGGGGTGGTTGGGGGGAAGAGAAGGGGGAGTGGGAATCGATGTTGGTGGTAGACGTGCAGGTATTTAGTTTGATCAAGTCGTTCTCAATCTACTTCGAGGTGCCAATGAGATTGTGTGTATGCCAGTTATAATCAAAGATCATCGAGTAGATGTTCGTGATTGGATTTGGAAGTGAGGCTGGTTTGTATGTCATCTCGGAAGATCACTTTTCCCTCACGTAGTTAGCATGTAAGAAAGGTTTGGAGACGAGACACAGGGACTTCAAAGATTGAGCGGCAGGTATGCCAATTAATCCAACCAGGAGCAGCTGAGATGAACCATGGCTAGATGCTGTGATTTGATGACTAACCCTCTTTTTCCTCTCGGTCCACCTCCGCGCAACCTAGCAATAAAACAGAATCTAAATTCCAATCGGCCTTAAATAAAGCAACGCAAAATAATCCATGCCATCGACTCAGCCGGAAACGCCGGGGTTTGGTATCGCAATGGACAACTCCCACTCCACCTTTTTTTTTTTTTTTTTGCAAATACAGCTATGACTTCGTCTCCCCCCTCCTCATCTCCTCCTCCGCAGCCTCTTCCGCCCTCTCATCCTCCTCCTGCCTCTCCTTCAATCCCTGTTCTTTCTGCACGCCCGCCGCCGAGACCTCAAGGCCCGAGTCCTCATTCGCCTCGCCCATCTCGACGTCTTCGTCCTTTGCCGTGGTAGTGTCGGCGATGGCGGTGACACCGCGTTGGGGCTCTGGTGCGGGGATTGGGGCGGGCGTGACGGTTGCCTCGGTGGGAGGTTCGACGGTGGGTTCTGTCGTCGCAGCGGCTGGGGCTGGTACTTCCTGGGCTGGTGCTGCGGGTGGGGATGCTGGGGGCGTGAATACGGCGGTGTTGTGGTCAGCTGGGGGTGCTGCTGCCGTGGTAGGTGCTTGTCCCTGGGATAGGGCGTTGGGCGCGGAAGTTAATGTCGTGTTCTCATTTCCAGCGGCGTCCATATCGATATCGCCGTCCCTGTCTTCCGCTGAAGTTGCTTGCGCCGCCGCTGCAGGTTCAGGAGACACTGGCGCCTCAGAAGCATCAGCAGCAGCGCCGTTGGTCGCTGGGCCAGCAGCAGGACTCGCGCGTGACGAGCGTGGAGCTGCGCTCGCCTGCCTCGTGGGAGGACCGCTCTCAGCGCCATTGGCACTGCCCCGTCGTTGTGGCGTTCCTGCGCCGCTGTCTCCGTTCTGCTCTGCATAAGGGTTTTGGTAGTCCATAATGTTTCTCCTGCGCGTGGATCGCAATTGTGTGCGGACGCCCTGTCTCTCGTTCTCGGCCTCGTCTTCGCTCTCGCTGAGCTCGCCGTCTTTCTCGATACGTTTGTCCCATCTGTGTTGCGTATATCTAACGTCTGGGTTTTCGTCTTCATCCATGTCGTCGAGAGCGTCGTCGGCGTCGTCGTCCATTCCTGGGTTCAGGGGTGACCGCGGGACATCTGTGGTTTGGACGGATGGTGCGAATGCGGTGCGGCTAAGGTTCTCGATGACCTGATTCTTGATCTTTGCAAGGTACTCGGGCGAGTTTGCGTTGTCCATGTTGGATGGTCGTACGTCGAGTTGGTAGTCGGGTCCGAAGTACTAATGTTTATGTCAGCGCAAACGAGGCCCAGACAAGGTGTTTCGCAATGATCTTTCGCACCTCGTAATAGTCATTGTAAGGCAACTCCGGGCCCATCTCTTGTCCGACAAGCTGCCCGGTCTCGTATGCCCACGTTCTCGCAACGTTGCGCATGGTGTACCCACCACCACCAAGGACCAGGACGGGGAGGTTGAAGCTCTTCACGAACTTCACGCAGTTCGCATGGCCCTTCATACTTAAGTTGAAAGCTCCGAGTCGATCTCCTGACAAGCTATCGCCGCCGCACTGAAGCACGACGGCTTCCGGCTGATACCAGTCCATCACCGCCTTGATGATTGGCTCGAAAACATTCTTGTATGTCACATCGGTGATTCCGTCGCGTAGGGGAAAGTTAACAGCGTAGTATTTTCCAGAGCCGACACCGATGTCGCGGAGCTCGCCGGTTCCGGGAAAGTATTCGCCGTACTTGTGAAAGGAGCAGGTCATGACACGATCGGTCGTGTAAAACGCTTCCTCGACACCATCGCCGTGGTGTACATCGATATCGATGTAGAGGACGCGTTGCTTGAAGCGGAGGAGCTCTATGATTCCGAGGACGATGTCTGTCGGTGAAGCACTTCAGCTTTTGTCGGATCAAGTTTCCTTCAAACCGGCGAGACGGTTACTCACCATTCACGTAGCAGAAACCGCTCGCCTCGCTCTTCTTCGCGTGATGTAATCCGCCTGCCCAGTTGACGGCGACGTCACATTTGCCGCGATTCAGTCTTGCCGCGCCTTCCATACTGCCACCTGCGCTTATGCCGCAGTATTCGAACAGGCCATCGAAGACCGGACAATCGTCTCCAACGTTAAACTTGCTCTGCTCCTTGGAGAAGTTGTCCATGTTGTCCGGCGTGACTTTCTGGAGGAAATCTACGTATTCGTCGGTGTGAAACTGCGTCATCTCGAACTTCGTGGCCGGTTTTGCGCGCTGCACGAAAGTCAGTATGCGACTGCTCTCGCGTTCCGCTCAAATGCGCCATGAGAAATAGACAGTGCCGACTGATGAAGCAGTGAAGCTTGGGCAGACAAGAGACGGAAGCAAAGGTCCTTCAGATGAATGATACGAGAATTAAAGAACTCACGTAAATTTCGAGCTTCTTGTACAAGCCATAGTTCATAATCAGACTGTGGGCCATTCGTATTCTGTGCGGCTTCATAGGATGGCCTGCGACATATGCGTAGTTGCCGATGTCCGAGTCGTAAAAGTACGCGACCTTCTTTGGCTGCGAAGAGCCATTCAGACTGAAATCGTCCATAGGGGGGCCGGCTCCCACCATGGTTGCGAAACTGTGCAGATCAAGAGAAAGCTTGAAGGTGAGTGAAGTAGTGTTAGAAGTTATGGGCGAGTTCTGAGGCGCGACCATGGACGACCACTCCCAGCCCTCCCCACTAGCTCCGCCGATC